GCCTCCTTGTACTTAGGGGTAGTAACACTTGGCCTTTAAAACTTTTATTTGTAACAAAGACTCACTTTGAACTTTTAGATTGCAATACTATCCGCCTCGTTAACAAGCTTTATGATAAGGATAAAATTAATAAAATGGTCATTTGATGTTTGATTGGTTGAGAAAAGAAAATATCAAAATAGTAAAAATAGGCATTCCAAAGCATAGTATTTCTTGTTGTACTTTTTGTTTCTTTCACAACTTTTAATGTTTTTTTCTTTTGCATTTTCCACTTTATCTTTGTTGCAGTTTACTCTCTTTCTTCATTGTTCGTTCACTTTGTTGCATTTCATGTATTATCTACAATTTCCTATTTTTCCTTTATTTTCCATTTTTATGTTGTATTTTATCAAATTTCTACAAATTAGTCTCATAAAATGACATAAGGGCAATTTGAGGTTTTAGAAATATTTAAACACACACATGACTGTAGCATGGGAATCTTTTCTAAAGTTAACTATAAGGGAATACTAATGGCAAGGGAATACAATCAGACAGACAAAACCGAAGCGGCTTTCCACGGGGGATCAGAGTCAACACGTCACTCTCCAGAAAGACGTTGTCAAGCTTCCAGGCAATCGCAAGCTTCAAACCCTCAAAGATAGCCACCGCCTCAGTCAGTTTCTTCAGGGGAGGAACAGTTAACAACCATAGCTCGACCCAAGATGAAATCACCGAGATGATCCCGAACAATACAATTATGAATGGATTCGAGCCAAGCGGAATAGTATGAGGTTTGAACTCAGTTTGCCAAGATAGTACAAGGTTCATACTCAAGCTTGGTTCGAATTAGAACTTTGACCTTGAGCTCAGCACAAATCAAAAACTCATAAGCTTGAGTTTGGTTTGGCTTGAGCTCGATTTGAGAAAAAATATTTTATAAAAATAAAAAATTATATATAAAAATATTTTTTATTTGATATTTAAAAAATTAAGAATTATAATAATTAGTTATTATTATATAAAAAATAAAAACATTATATATATAATATTTTTGTTATATATATTATTTTCTATAATTTTATATTTTATTATATATATGTAGCTATTCGAACTCGACTCGAAGTTCAATTAAAACCGAGTCGAACTGAGTTTTTCACAAGCCAAGCTCGTGAGGAATTCGGCTTGTGGCCACCCCTAAATACAATCACTAGAAGCTTTTTCATTAGAACTCGCCCCATTAGTGTTAAACTTTTAAAGAATTCCCTGGAGAGGGGGGGTTTGGATCAATGCATTGTAGAACACATAATAGAGGTTTTTTTTCTTTTTAATAGATGAAAGAAAATGAGGATTAATACCTTAAATATGAGATTTAATGAGATGAAACATAATAAATGTTTAAATTATTATTTTTCCTTAACAATACATAAAAACCAAATTCAAAGACAGGAATATTTTAGTCCAAAAAATCTAAAAGCCTTCAGGAACTATTCCCACTTTTTATAGTAGGATAGATAAATCCTTTTTGTCAAACTTGAAACAGTATTAAAAGTGGAGTTTCATGGATTCTTTGGAATTTATAGCATATCCCCATTGTCCCCAATTTCAAGATTCTTTAATGCTACAACTATTTGATGCTTCTATAGTTATAAACTATCTCATGACATTAATTACAACGACCTTCAACCCATAAAACTAGTCCACATCACAAAATTAGAAAATCTATAATTAATGCATCTTTGTTTGATCTGAATTTTGTGTGATTCCACCATGGACCATTTATTAGTGTAATTGAAGATAATGTTCGAGATCCACCGCTAGAGATGCATGAGCCAAAGGCCCCATGCATTAGCTACAAGTAATGTAATGTTAGTAGTGGATAAAATATAAAAATATAAAAATCTTCTCTAAAATCATAAAAACCTCTCCTGAGATTTCACTTTCCTTTGGTTTAAAAAACAAAAAAAAAACAGCAATTACCTCCCTTCGGTCATTATCTCAGTAACAGAGAATCGAATTACAAAATTCCCTTACTACTCATTAGGCATCCTTCAACATAATTCAAAATGTCAGATTTGCCGTTCAAACTTTATTATTGATGGGTATGAATAAAATTACTTTACTCTTTTCAATTTAACTTATAAAACCTTTTCAATTAAAAGTTAAAAGTTGTTTTGGGAGTATTTTAATAAATCTTTATATGAATTGATAGGTAGAAGGGTAAAATGGGAATTTAAAAAAATAATGCATTAGGATATAAAAGCCCAGTAAAAGATACCATAAAAAAATATAGGCATAAATTCTTTTAAAAAATAATGTATGCTTAGTATTGCTCAACCTTTTATTGACTTTTTTATCTATAGATCATTTCTCTAATTAAATCGAAAGTCCATTTTTCAGTTCTATGTGAAATAAGCTATACAGTTAAGCTATGCAATAGTGTATTAACACCTTTATAATGGGTTTGGATCTGCTCCCCACGAGTTGTTCCCATATCGCTACTTATGGGATATCATAGCTGTTTATTGGGAATATCCCCCTTGTCATTCATGAAGAGATGTTCTCAATACAAGGTAGTGGTGTTCTGTGAGTAGAGATGTGGAACAATTTGTGGACAGAAGATCCACAAATCAATGGGTCCCCACATCCAATAAAAGAAAGGAAATAAAAGAAGTCGATCATCAGGTTAAAATCATGGGGTTATAGCTGGTAAGGGCAACTTTTGGGCCCTAAAATCAATAAAAATAATCATTTTAATATAATTTCTAAAATAGGTTAATTTTTTTTTAAAAATATATCAAATAAGGGCAAAAATATTGTTCATCTTCTTTCTCATTCAAACCACCGAACAAATCTCTCTCAAGATTAATAAATATTGATTATAAATCTCTACTTTTTTTGTTCATCCTTGTAGTTGTTGGATTGTTTCAAGCAAAACAGATGCAAATAGGATTTCGATGGATTAAACACTGTATTGAAGAAGAAACCCACCAACTGAATTGCAAAATTTCTCACTCGATCAATGAAGGCCACCATGAACTAGTACCCTGGAGCAATATTGCATGAAGTGATGAGAGCCTATGCCCTTGCAATTCTGAAGACCTATTCAATGGTATTCATCGTCTTTGCAAGGGGGGTCCACCCCAATTGCGCTAAAGATGTCTTTTTTGGGACAAATTCTTGTTGTAAAACACAATGTCTAGCAAGAAGCATGAGCTGGTGGTTCCGAGCAGATAAAGGCCACGGCGACACCGATTAAGAAATTCCTTGGAGAATAGGCCAAATGAGTTGTCGTTGCCCTCCATAATGTGCTTGACCTTCTGTTTGGATATAATCTCAACCTGAAAGACCTTGGACATGTCGGATGCATCCTACTTCACATTCTTGGCGACAAGGGCTGTGTACCGAGCAGTCTTGGGCATTTTCATACACCAGTAGTAAGTCATAGCAGCAAGCAAACTAAACATCAGAATAAGGCATCATATGAAATCATCTTGTGAGACAGTTGAGGCATTGACGTCAATTTTGTAAGCTGGAGAGGAGTACTTGGCCTTGATTGCAGCAGATGATGATTGAAACTATCCCACCAACTAAGATCCCAAATCCTTGCATGGTGAAGACGGAAGCAATGAAGGTGCCATGAGTCTTCTTGTTGGCATACTCGGAAATAATCATGGTAGAAAGTGTGTTGTTACCACCGATGCCAAACCCGTGCCAGAAATGGGAAAAAGAGAGGGTTGCCATTTTCCCTTTTGGAGCACTTCCAAAAGAAAGCCTTGAAGCGAAGAACAACATTGAGAAGAAGAGTCGTTTTTTATTTGTTCTTCTAGTTCAATTGGGTTTCTTTCGAACGTCCATTAACGTTATCATAGATTCAAAATGCCAACGTGGTCCATTCTGGGTTCACACGTTCCATGAACTCATGGGTTTACATGATGCGAACTCAAGAAAGAGAAAGAAACTGGAGATGGGGACATTTGTTTGATGGTCTGAAAGAGAAAGGAGATGAAAAGTATTTCTACCCTTTTTTAATATTTTTTAAAAAAAAATTACCCAATTCTAAAAATTATGTTAAAAAAATTACTTTTATTGATAATAATAAGAACCAAAAATTGCCTTTATCAACTATAATGGTCCCCACATGTCTTTTAGCTCATCCCTCCACGGTCACAGCTCTACAATGTGCTATCTTTTTAATTCTCCTTATCAACTTAAGCTATACAAGAGTATGTTTAAAGAAAAAACGAAAGCTAAACAAAAGAGTACACTATATGCTTTTATTGAAAATTTATTCCATATATTAAAAAAATCTCTTTGTGCCATATCAGCACATCTCGTGTTCCAATCTCCATCCCAATTTTCTTCCTGCTGAACAGTTATTGCCTTCAATTAATCCTATTTTTCCCATTTTAAGAAAATTTTGTTTAATTTCTTCACGTAATACTGACAAGGGTTTTGTTTCCATATTATAATAGCTTGGATAAATAACAAATTAACTAAACTCTGCCACCTGGCAAAAAATATAAAAAGAGAATGATTTTCTATTCTTCTTTCCAGATATCTTAGCCCTGTTTCCATCTATAGTGACTAGACTAAAATACTGCATCCTTGTTAAAGCATCATCATCCAAATTTTGAGAGATGCAGTTACATGATCATTCTGATCTTTGACCTAGTCCATCTCTTACGTGAATGATTAAATGTTGTGCTCCGATCATCTGAGATTTAGAAGCATGTGTACCCACTTACCCAGGCAGAGTGTACTGAAGAAATTGCCAAGAAGTTAGATATCCATGATATTAATAAAAACAAAGCATTAAATTCTTGGGTCCTGAGAGTGATGTCCCAGCCAATCTTTAGTGCAGTCAGAATGGTCCCTTCATTGATTGAAACAATTAAAACTAGATAAAGTAACAAACTCCCAGTACGGATCATTACATGTTAATTGTAACTTGGGTTACAATCTCTTGCATGAGTTGATCTTTATTACATTTATTGTTACAGAGTTTATTGTATTAAAACGTGATATCTAGCTATTTTCCTTTAAGAAAGCTCCTGCAAATCTTCTCCCAAGTCTTCCTATCTGGTTCAGCAATCTCCAATCTCGATTTTGTTTGCTCAGCGAACTCTTTCTGGCAATAATTAGACAGCCCAATTAGATAATTTGATAGCTTTAGAGGGAACATTTTATAATCAAGTATCAAATTCCAAGCATATACTCAGTTACCTCTATAGAGTTGTTGTTGACGAGACGATCGATGAGATTATATAGAATGTCTTTGGTGTACTCAGGATGACCTTGGATGCCTAATATGTGGCCACTAAGGGTAAACATCTCCACTCTTGTCTTGTCTGAGAAGGCTATTATCTCAGCTCCAACAGGGACCTCCCATACCTGAAGTTAGATACAGACAATGCTAATTAAGTTGATGTTTTACTAGTCAGATAGATAGATAGATATATAAATATATATATATATATATATATAAAGAGAGAGAGAATATACTTCATCCTGATGACACTCAATGATGGAAAGGAAAGGAGGGATTTCAGTAAAGCCACCAACAGAGCTTCTTTTGTTGAAATCCTCCACCAGTCTGACTTTCCTCAACCCAATATCCCAACCACTGTAAGCTCTCCCTACCTTACCACCCAAAGCTCGGCACAACACCTAAAAATCAACAAACAAAAGTATTAACAAATATTAACTACAACTAATCAACTGAAATAATCTCTCTGAGTACATAGTTAACTGCGACATACTTGGTGACCAAAACATATTCCAATCACTTTCTTCTCCATTGCATACAGTGTTTGTATTAAGATGCAAAGTCTCAGAACCCAGGCATCATTGCCATGAGCATCATAAGGGCTGCCACTGATCACAAAGCCATGGTACTTGTGAAGCTCATCAATGTCAGGAAATTCTCCCTCCACAACCCTAAACAAATCCCACTGTTCTCCTTCTTCCCCAAATGCATCAACAAACACATTAAAATACCCACCATACACTTTCTTCACATAATCAGAATCTCTAGCTGCCAGTAAAAGAGCAAATCTCCTCTCTCCTACAAACTTCATTTTAGAAAGCTAGATAGATGGATAAAGAGATTTGAAGGACAAAACAGAGCTTCTAAAGAAAGTAATAAGGATGACACTCCAACTTTAATTGGTTGGAAGCTGAAGAGGAGAGACAGTAGGGGAGTTGGAGACTTCTGCAGTCGATCTGCACCAGATTTGAACCAGGAGGGGAGAGGAGATATGACTTACACTGTATTCTGAGGGTTGAGGGTTATGTATTTATAAGGATTGTGGGATCAGTGGAGCAAAATCCAAATGACCAAAACGTACGTAAAAACTGAGCCGTTAGCTTTCCTAGATGATATAATTCTTTTGTTGTTGTGCTTACCTGAATAATATAAAATATACAGGTCTTGGGTGCTCGTCTGGGTGACCCCTGAAAATGGTCTTGGGTCCGCGTAAATGTATATAACTTCCATTTTCAGTGGGTGGTTAACCAGCATTGAATGGGTCTAAATTAAGATATTGACTTATGAAATAATGTGTTTACCAGAATAAAAAGAAAGTTGGGTTACATTCTCAGGTCTAATTATTTGGGCCCTTTTACGTTTTTCTTTCTTTTAGCCATTTATTGGGAAAATACTTTTTATCTATGTTATTTTATTTCTCAGTTGAAAGATATAATGACCATTTTATCCTTAAGGTTGTGTTTGGTTTGAAGGAAAAAGTAGGAAATAGAAAGGAAATGTAGTGAAACCTTTACAAACCTTACCTAGGTTAATTTCCCTATATTTCCCTACCTTTTTCCTTCAAACCAAACATATATATTCTAAAAGACAAAATTAGAAAGTGTCTCATTTTACTTATCCACTTAGAAGAAGAGTATCACTTACCAAGATAAGTGATAGATACCTAGGGAAAATAACTCTTTTGTGGGCCCCACATGAACCCAAGAAAAGATGGTGGGGTTGTTGGTAAATGGGAACCATTATCTATGTTCCTTTATTTCTCACTTGAATGAGGTAATGACCATTAATCTTATTCTTAAAAGGCAAAATTGGAAAGTGTCTCATTTTACTTATCTATAAGGAGAAGAGTATCAATTACCTAGATAAGGGATATATACCCTGGGAAAATAACTCTTTTGTGGGCCTCACATAAATCCACAAAAAGAAGGGAACCATTTTCCCATTGACCAACTCTCCCCAAACTTTTAACTGAATCAAATACATTATGGGTTAAGGCAGTTAGAGCAAAATATTTGAAGCAAGAACCATATTTATTGTAAAACCAAAACAATATCATTCTTGCTGCCTTGCTGGTGGAGACAAATACTAGTGGTAGCAAAAGGAACGCAAAATTAGCAGATAAAAAATGGTGAGTTGCGTCATTACTTCATGACCCTTGGGTACCCTCAATTAGTGGAGGATACCCTAACCCCAAGCTTGATTCCATTTAAACAATGCAAAATCCTTAGGGGGTATTCTTTTTTTAGATTTTGAGGGGGGGGGGGGAAGTTGGTCAATGGGATTTTTGATTCCCATTGATCAAAAAATTCATATTCTTTTTTCAGATTTATGTGAGGAGCAGGGAAGGTTTACTTTCTTGGGTATCATTTACCCGGATAAGTGATACCCATCTCCTAGGTGGATAAGTAACTTTCTCACTTGTGAGAAAAATTACCAACACTTGAATACAAATATACCCCTTTTAATAATGGATTTTTATGGCTAAAATGGACATTACCTTAATTATTTGCATGGGAAATAAAAGAATATGGGTAAATGCACTTACTCGGGTAAATCTTTTCTGAAAAACACATACCCGGATAAATGCATTTACCTAGATAAATAACTTACCAAAAAACAAACAGGGCCTTAAGGATAAAAGATATGTTAAAGCCAAATGGACAGTGGAACTTACAAGCCCTTGTGGAGACATTCACAATGTCACAAGTATAGTGTTAAATAAATTCCTACTGACATCTCTTTCCCAGTTGTTGCCATTAGGCGGTGGAATAGAAATCAATATGGAAGTTAAAAATTCCATTCAGATTTCAAATTTTCTTCTGGGATTTTTTTTGTGAGGCTATCTATCCCTACAAGGGATAAATTATACAGAAAAGTATGGATTTGTCCAATGCAGATTTCTGATTTACACTGCAGGGCTATAAACATTTAAATGGACTGATACATACATTTTATACACCCACGTTCACCTGTAAATTAGCATCAATTCCGACCTAACACCTATCCCGGCCATACATTGAACCTACAAATTCTGACACTGGAGATATCGGTCATTCTCCCTAAATTATATCCTCTAAATGGGAAAGATAAAATTTGTCTTGTGTGTGGATCTCAAAGAGAACCTCTACTACACCCTTTTTTCTCCTCTTGTCATTTTGCAAGAGCTATTTGGGTTGTGCTACACTTTAACATCTTTTACCATGTTACTGATTCAAGAAGACCGCATGAAGTAATAAATGAATGGACCTTCAAGCATTTCAAATCTCTAACAAAGTTTGAACAAAGGCATGTGATGGAGAAGGTTGCTATTGTACTTCTGCTGATATGGGAAGCTAGAAATAGAAGAGCACATGAGAATGCAAAGTTGGACCCCAAGGTTGCAAACATTTTTTGCCATCCCCAAACATCAGCCCAAGGCACACAAGTATGTAAATAGACTAAAAAAATAATATGGCTCACAATATAGGCATATAGTAAGGATATGAATCTTCACTACCAACTTCCCTTTAGGGGCATGGATGTGAAAAAGCTTCATAAGTATCTTATAATAAATCGGTTATTGACAAAAAATAAAAAACAAAACCTCTCCCCCCTAACATTTACCATAAAATGAACATGCCCTTACTATAAACCACAAGACCACAACTTAGAAGCCCATAAAGTTGGGTACATGACCATCCAGTTTGAACGGATGGCTCGTTGCAATTTAAAAAATAAAATAATAATAATAATAATAATTAAAATAAAAAATAGCCAAAAATTATTGTTCAGAAAAAACAGTTCAACCGTCCAGGCTAGTGGATTCCTGACCAAGTCAAAGCTTTTTGGCAAAGGACCAGTTCAGGGGTGAAACGGAATTGGTTGCCTGGACAGTTTTCAAGCCGAATGATCTGACCATCTGGGTCAATGATGGTTCAAAAATTATAGTTTATATTAGAAATATTTGGCAGGTATTAAGGCTATGTTTGGTTTGAAAGAAAATAAGAGAGATTGTTCTCGATAAATTTGTGAAATTCCTTAATAATTTTCTCCTCATCCTCTCTTCAACCTTAATTGATGAATTAATTTCAATGCTCAAAAACTTAATCTTGTGTTTCTACATGCTGGATTTTCCTAAAGCGAAATATTAAAAATTTGGGTAGTTTTTATTTCTACAAATGGTCCACTACGCAGTATAGAAGTTTGGATGAACCGTAGACACTGTTTCATGTGACAGAAATGGCTGAGAGGTTGTCTTGTGAGCTTCCCTATCTGAGACAATTAAGAAACCTTTTCCTTACATCCAGAAATAAATTGATTAATTATTTAATTCAATAAAAATATTCATGACAAGGTGAATCAATAATCTGCTGAAGTTTTCTCAAGCTTGAACGAGTCGATTCAGTTAACCTATGATTTAAATTTATAGCAACCCTTACTGGAGTTTGAATAATCCAACTTTGTCATTTTGCTGAGCTAGCAGGTTGACTCAACCATGCTCCAGGTTGATTTGTTAAGCTTTAAAACCAGGTTTTAAATCTGTTAACAGAAAAACCATGTTCCAAGCTAAGGGTTGCAAATGGGAATGCCTGATTTGAAGAATTTAAATTACATCTCAGACTTTGGTTTTAGGCTCGGACTCATTCAAAATCTAACAAATGCTCAATGAAGCCCAACCCAGAAAATGGAATTCATAATGCTGAATAGGACATTACAGTCAGAGGCCGATGCCTGCAAGATGAGAACCTGGCTCATCAGTCTGAAATTAATTAAAAGCATGGATCTCCTGGACTGTAGCCAAAAAACTATTGCTAAAAGAAATCCAGATTGAGTTTCAGATACATAGGAAAGGAAGAATTAATAAAAAATGGAATTCATAATGTATCTTATAGAATGTTCTCTTTTGTCAAACACACGAGAAAAGAAAACCAACATTTTCAAATTGTTGTTCAATGAATCATTCAAGTGTCAATGTATCAGAAGCATATCCAATACCCAAGTAGCATTAATTATTTATCCAACTCACGGGCCCGCCATGAATGCACTCAACTTCTATTTGTTAAAATTGAAAAAGAGAAAAGAAATGCTTTAATTTCTTTTGCTATTAATCCAAGTAATTTTGCAAGTTCATAACAATGAGCTGAGCCTTCATTTACTTAGAGATTATTTAATAATGGGCAATTGGGCATCAATGAACAATTGACTTCTTCGTTTGCTCCTGTAATGACCCCTCCACTACAGGTCAAGTAATCATATATATTTTGTAAAACCTTTGGCGAGATTTCTCTAGTTTTGAAGAAACCCCTTTTAAAACCAAATCTATCTATCCAAAGAAAACGGGGGTACTGTTTGACAACTAATAAATAACGTGAAATAGAAGCATTAGAAGTTAGAACTGAAGTTGCAGCTGATTCTCTGAGTCAACCAGCTAGACTCTATGCTTTATTGGTTGTGGACGGTATACAAGCCAGGTTCATTCTCTTCTGTGTTGAGATCAATCTAGATTCTAGGGTTCTTTAATTTACAGGTGAAAGGTACGATTTGGTAAGTGGGGAGCTAATAAATAATGGCGAAGGAGGTTGGGAGAGCGACAACCAACAACTCACTAGTCACTACCCTATGTGAACTCAAAGACTCAAGCCATGCATTTTGCTTCTTTCTTCTGCCCTCAAGCCATTGTTAGAACAGTAATCAATTGCGGCACAGTGGAGGTCAGTGATGGATGCCGTACTGAATACTCTTGACAGATTGAACAGAGACTGAGACTGGGTCATTGCTTTTTTTTTTTTTCTTGATAGGATTGAGATTGAGTCGATTGACCCAACTCAGAAGGGGCCTGACCTGGGTATCTGTATACACTTAAGAAAGGCTTTACATTCTTGACTGGGATGTGGTTGAGTGGAGGGGGGACGACTTTACTTTGAGTTTACTTGGACGAGGCTTGGATCAGGTGCATGGTCAACACAGAGG